TATATATATATATGACTGCCATTTACTTTAATAAATCCCGATATTTTGGCAGCCTATTTAGGGCACATTACACACATCATGATTTTGCTGGTGTCAATATACAGGTAAACACAACATAAAGTAGATTTTCAAATAACAAACATTACTGTGTGCCAAATTATTATTAGTTAAATTTAATTTGATTTGATTTGATTTAATTTTATTTATTTACTTAGTGCACACAATGAAAGAGATACATTGTTGTTTTTGACTTTGCCTTTCATTTTTAGTTAAAAAATATTTAAACTATTCATCAAAATATCTTCTTTTGCATCTCACAGAAAACAGAAACCCATACATGTTTGGAATTACATAATGTCTATTTTGGGGTGAGCTGTCCCTTTAAGAGCTAAACAATCAAAATTTCACTTGCATGGTGACAGTATATAGTTAATTGCACTGTCAGAATGTATGTGACAATATGTAGTACGTGAACTGGAACATGTAGGACACTTGAACCTCACCTCATCATAGATGCTGTCGTTCTTCTCAAAGTCTCCAGCCTTCCTCGGAAGCACGTGAACATGGACATGCTGTAATTACAAGAGGAACAGAGAAACGGTTAATTGAAAAACGTTCATTCAGCAAAGCTGAGGTCACTGTCAGAGAAAGTAAGGACAGGTACGCTCTACCACTTCACAGTCTTCTGGCAGCTTTTCAGTGTTAACTTCTCTTAAATCATGCAAGAGTTACTGTAAATTCCACGAAGTGTGCATCTGTAAACCTCTAAGACTACTTATTTTTAGGTTCTTAAAACTTAAACTGACTTTGTCAGATGTCCTCAACGAATTCCCTTCTGCAATATGCTCTCACAAACTTGGCCATCTGCACGGTTTGTTTGTAAAACTGTGCTTTCCTTGAAGGTAATTTGAGTCCCAGTAGAACACGGTCCGTTTTAATGAACAAAACATTTGGTTTTGTGTATTCAGTACCTACCTGTCAGCCTACTCTGCAGTCTTTTTATAATTTAATTTAATTTAATTTAATTTAATTTAATTTAATTTAATTTAATTTAATTTAATTTAATTTAATTTAATTTAATTTAATTTAATTTAATTTAATTTAATTTAATTTAATTTAATTTAATTTAATTTAATTTAATTTAATTTAATTTAATTTAATTTAATTTAATTTAATTTAATTTAATTTAATTTAATTTAATTTTAGGAGGGCTGGGTGCATTCTACTGGGCAACAATATGATGATTTTTTTTTGTCTAGATCTATACATTTATTTAGTAAAGTCATGTGGTGCAACCAACAACGTCAAGTAATGTAACCAATATAAAAAGGAAATTACATTATAGAAGGGACCCTTGCATACTGATAAGGTTAGTTAAGGTTGTAAAATGTCATGTGGTGCAACTCCCCAAAAACCTGATATTAAAGAAACATTAATTAATTAATGTATTTATTTATTTACTTACTTAAGTACTTACTTGATTATTTATTTATTGGCTTGCTTACATTTAAAAATATATTTAAAAACTTGTGAGCATGTGGTCTGGTTGTAAAATGTCAGGTTGTGCAGCTGCCTGTGCTATTAATTAAATATTGATTTATAACGTTTATTTAAAAAATACTTAACTTGAAAAATATATTTAAAAAAATGAAAACAATTTTGATGTGAACATTCACAAGTATTAACAGCAATTACTTTGTACTTGATGCTTACACCACATGACATTTTTAGAAACTGAGGCTCCTTAGAAAAACATGCTTCTACCAACATGTTTGTAAAACTCCCAAAAAAGACATACCTATACATACAATTCACTGCATTTTCCATCTGAAATTAACACTAGAGGCAGTAAAATGGCATCAACTTTTATTCCTTTTCACTCAAATTATGGTTAGGGGGCAAATAATTGAATAAAGATTCATTTTGTGTGACTCCATGCACAAAACTGTTATGACCTCAAAGCACTTTTGCCATAGTGCATGATTTGCAAACTAATGCATTTTGATGTTTCCATCACATAACCAGCTTCAAATGTAAATGTATTCAAATGTAGGGTTTAGTTTAGGTTGTATGTTATTTTCAAATTATTATACAGCAACACTCACTCATTTCATTTTCCTTCGCGAAACATGGTAGAAGCTTTTTGCGCAATTCTATCACAAAGGATTTTTCAAAGTCTTTCCCTACCACACAGAAACCTAAAAAAAAAAAAAATAAAGTTTAACATGGTATTATATTTAAAAACCTTTCCATTACTTATAAATTATATTATAAACTATCCAAATGTTTTCTCTATTTTCAATGTTACATTTGATGTTCAAAAATGTAAAGGAACTGGTTTCACTGGAATTTCTAGTCAAAAACTTGAGGTGTAAAAACAAAAGGTGGGAAAAAAGAGATGTAAAAATGTCGCAGTTCTTTGAAGTTCTCAGTAAAAGATATTTAGAAATCAAAGTTACACATCAAGAAAGTAAAATGGAGGCCTGTCACCATCCTCCCCCAGCAGTTTTGTAATGTGTGATCATTCACTATTAACGTATCAGAGTGTTCTGCGTGAAGACAAGTGACATGACAGTGTAATGTGGACAGCATACATAAAAACCTAGAAAAATAAAAGAGCAGGTGCACATAAGATGAGGATGATTGGTGTCTCCTTGAAAAAGTCACGTAAAGTTTAAACGGACATGATTTTATGTCAAAGCCTATTGTGATTACTTTGTCTAATCAGCAAGATCCTATCTTTAGCCCGTCATAAATCAAAACCACAGATAAACAAACAAACAATTTTACCATGTGCCATCCAAACCGTCACCGATTTAGTGTTTTTTGCACCGTGCTGAACTATACCAGGGTATAATAACCTAATTACAGTGCTTTTTAAATTCATTTTTCATTAGTCTGTTGTGATAAACAGCTCAGGCTTGGTGAATAAGTATTTATAAATGTTACAAACAAGATAACATGTTTGGAGGCATCTGCTTTGTTGCAATGCATTTTCTATTTAATGAGTGCATTTGCATAATGTCTGCATTATTAAACTAATCTACCTTGAGGAAAGTATGAAGAAACACAGCGCGCACACACACACACACACACACACACACACACACACACACATAAAACCATTTAATCAAGAAGACTTTTTAGAGGCCGCTTAGCATGGAGAAGGAAAGCTCAGTAGACCAGAGCGAGTTGCAAAGGGCCACCAACTGAATAGTGCAGAACATTGGAAGGATAAAATGGGCGATTTTAAGAGCAATGTGACAAGCTGCAGTGAAATACGGGCAAGACTTTGGGGTCAGAGTCTGGCATTTATTGTAAGTCATATTACATGATAAAGAATGTGGATTACCTTGTCATGGTTTTATTAGACTTGTTTCATCTTAAGTAACTGAGCATCAAAATTAAAGTAACAGAAAAATGTTACCCCAAATTTAAAATCTTGCCACCATTTACCTACCGTCATGCCATTCTAAAACACATTTAATTTGATTTATTTTTTATTTTTTGTGGATCACAAAACACAGTTTTTATCTAGGCCAATGCTCTCCGTATAATTGTAGTGAATGGGGACTGGAGCAGCGACACACACACACACACACACAAAAACAAACACTCTAAAAGCATCTGAAATTATGCATGTCCAGTATATGAAGTTTGAATACAGCATATGAAATGGAAGCTATGAGTTAAATTTAGCAGAGACTAATTTAAGTTTGGATTCAGAGAATCCATTTATATTTTTGATCAAATAAATGCAGCCTTGATGAGCATAAGAGACTTTAAAAAAAAACAAAAAAAACATTACAAATCTTACTGATCCCAAACTTTTGAAAGACAGTGTATAATGATTCAAGTATAAATAAATAAATCAAAAGATCAAAATTGTAAGTATAATTGATCATTTTGATAGAATGACAGCTCCAGTGCCCATTCAATTCCATTACAGGAAACTAAGCAGACAAGATATTCTTTAAACAAAACATAATGGATGGATGGATGGATGGATGGATGGATGAATGAATGAATGAATGAATGAATGAATGAATGAATGAATCAATGAATCAATGAATGAATCAATTAATCAATCAATCAATCAATCAATCAATCAAATAAATAAATAATCACTTTTTTTGTCAAATGGTGTGAATAAATAAAGTGTGTGTACTATGCCATTAAATGCTGCTGGATTGTGAATACCATAATATGCAACATTATAAAACAGACAGTTCAAGTTATGCTGAATATAGAATTGCTCAATATAGAATTCCAGCAGTAAATATTGCAACATGGTAACAGCTAAATTCTAGCACTCCACAGCATCCATAGAGAACACATTTTTGTTTGCATCTCAGGCACTATATCCTCAGGCAGACTCATAACGAATTTGCTTAAAAAAATGTTTCACTGAAAATGTGCATCCTTAAGGTTTTTTAATTTTTTTATAGCACCTATTTAAAAAATGCGCTATATTCTGCAATATATACTGTGAATATTCCTAATGACAACCTTTGGCCGTTTATTCTATTGTGAATAAGAAGTGTGTGTAATGGTATTAAATGTGAAAATCTTACAAGTTAATAAAACATAAAATTAAATAAAATGTGCAATTTTATTTTAACCTCATCTTTTGTTGTGCTTTAAAGAACAACACTCAATTTGATGTATTGACTAGTGTACTTAAAGGGATAATCCACCCAAATATTAAAATTTGATCAGGGCATCCAAGATGTAGGTGACTTTGTTTCTTCAGTAGAACACAAACGAAGATTTTTAACTCAAACCGTTGCAGTCTGTCAGTCTTATAATGGAAGTGAATGGGAATCACGGCTTTGAGAGTCAAAAAAACATACACAAACAAAACCAAATTAAACCCTGCGGCTCGTGACGATACATTGATGTGCAAAGACACAAAACGATCGGTCTGTGCAAGAAACTAAACAGTATTTACAGTATATAGTTAATGCACTTATAAGTCTGCGATTCGCCGTAAAGCAAGAAGAAGACGCGTCACGCGCCAGCTGAAGAAGAAGACGCAAACACGCTCAGGACAGTTCAGACATTGCAGTGCATCAGAGGTAAATAAAACTGAAAATACTGTTCAGTTTCTTGCACTGACCGATCGTTTCGTGTCATTACACATCAATGTATCGTCACGAGCCGCAGGGTTTAATTTGGTTTTGTTTGTGTATGTTTTTTTGACTCTTAAAGCCATGGTTCCCATTCACTTCCATTATAAGACTGACAGACTGCAACGGTTTGAGTTAAAAATCTTCGTTTGTGTTCTACTGAAGAAACAAAGTCACCTACATCTTGGATGCCCTGGGGGTAAGCAAATAAACATCAAATTTCAATTTTTGGATGAACTATCCCTTTAAGCACATTTAAAGTACTTGATTATAATTGTAACTGGAGTATTACATTTAAACTATGATATATTGTATTATTACAGTTAACATTTTTTGTTATGTACTAAAATGCAACTTGATCATTACAATACAATTTCAGAGGTTTTTATCCTCTCACAAATCATCAAGTTTTCAGAAAGACTACCTTTCTTCATGCTTGATTT